TCGGTTATTTCAATTTTTTAAAATAAAGAAGCCTACATTGAGCCAAATAATAGAGTTTTAAAAAAGTAAAAAAAGATAATCGAACCAAATTATAAATTTTTGAACTGAAAATGTTAGTTTGGTCGGTCTCATTCGATATGGTGCAATCTCATAGTCATTAATGTTCAATTCGTACAACACAATTGTGCAGATCAAGTTTTTTTTTTAATGAGATGTCATAAATCAAAATAAATTGATATGAAATAATCATTTTATTTGATTAGTTGAAATTAATTAATATTTATAAATAAAAATATATATAAAAAATAATGTTATGTTGCATTCGGGAAGAATGAATAGATCTTGAAAAGGAATCTGTTGATTCTCTTCTAATTAGTTGGACCATTTTTATATAATTCGATTGTTTGGTTATTTCGGTTTTTAAAACCAAAAAAAAAGGCCGACATCGAACCAAAACTAATCGAATTTTTTAAAGTAAAAAGAATATATATTTGAACCGAAATATAAAAATTTTAGTTTGGTCGATTTCATTCGATATTGTGCAATCTGATAGTCATTAATGTGCAACTCGTGACACAACTGTGCACTCACAATGTAGTAATTTTTAATGAGTTTTCATAAAGCAAACTAGAATCGAACCGAAATAATTAGTTTATTCGTTCGGTTGATTGATTATTTCGGTTAACCGAAATAAATGAAATAACTTATTATTCATATTGTAAAAAAAAATATATATTTTTAATGTTCTATATATATATTCCAATTCATTTCGGTCAGTATATTCGTTACGTTAAAGTGCAATCTCTAATGCACAAAAGTGCAACATGTCCGTCGTTAAAGTGCAATGTGTAAAGTACTATTTTAGTATTTTATATTATTTTTATTATTAAAATTTATCTATTAATTCAACATTTGATTTATTATATTATATTATTTTTATATTATTTTGATATTTCATATTATTTTTATTTAATATTTATGTTTTTATTTTAAATCAATATTTGATTTATTATATTATATTATTTTTATATTATTTTGATATTTCAAATTATTTTTATTTAATATTTATGTTTCTATTTTAATATTTTTTACCCTTTCACTTATCCTTCATTTACGCAAATAAAGCAGCCGAAGAATGGGTGCTCTGCCACCAGGAAAGGCTAAGACTACTCCTATTATTTATTACCTTTTATAAACTTTTTGTAAATTACAGATTTGACACATGTACTCAATTGAAATCAATTAAATTTCTTGAAATTGCACATAAGTCCTTGTAAGTTATCAAATTTCAAAAATTAATCCCTACATCCAAAACTTCAATTACAAACTTGCAGGCTTTGTATATGTTCAGACACCTCCGTCAGGTCACCACTTCCGGCAGCGTGGCGGCACACAGCAGACGTCCGGTTGCAGACGTCGGAGGCGTGGCGCCGGCGGGAGTCGGGGCGATGGCGAGATGAACGGCGGCGTACCGGAGCTCACCACTTCTGACAGCAGGGCGGCATACGGTGGACGTGCGGTTGCGGACGTCGATCCGGCCCGTTGCCGGCGGAAATCTGTGCGACATCGGGAACTGTCAAGTTGTCAGCGGGAACCGCCATTAATGGCTCGAGGTTTGAGCTTGAAGCTTGATTTTCCGGTGCAATGGAGGTAAGGGTGAGGACGACGGTGGAGTTGGTGGATGAGCAGGAGAAGTCAGAGAGGTGGGAGAGGAGGTGGCCGTGGAAGAAGATGTCCACCGACAGAATATCCACAGTAGTGGCGTGCGGAGGAGGGGCTAAACTGGAGATCGGCAATGTCCAACAGCGCGAATGGACATGGTGGAGGTGCGCCGACGACTGAGCCTTCGGTCGGGTAATGGTCGGCCGTGGAAGATGATGTTCGCCGGACTCGTGTGTGTGAGTTGCCGACTGTGTGTGTTTCTGTGTGTGCGTGCGTCTGTGTGTGTGTGTATGTGAGAGA